TGCCGGTGCTGCTGGTTGCTGTGCTTGAAGTTGTGGCTGTTGTGTTGTGTCTGCTCCAAAAGCTTGTGTGCCTGTTTCTGCAGTTGCTGGTCTCCTCATTGGCTTGTAGACCAGTGGTGGTTTTGAAACGTATGGTCCACCAGTGGTGTATGGGAGTGTTGGTGATCTGTTGATCACGTCCATCAGTTGCTTGTTGTACTTTTCTGGTGCTGGAAGCCTTCTGATTGTTCGTGCTCGAACAACCTTGTTGGAAATCCCAATGAGGTTCTCATTGGATGTTGTGTCTTTACCAAGCCATATGCCTGGCATGAAGCGCTGTTCCATCTTTGGAATGACTGCTGAGTTTGGCAACATATAAAGAACTGTTTCACCAAACTCACAGAGTGGTGTTTTGTGTTCTTTATGCCATCTCCTGAAGAAGCTTGTGTTGCCATCTGAATGTATGGCATACCTGTTGAGCAGGTAAGCTGTGTGTCTCACCATCCATGCTACGATGGGATGTTTGCTTGTAAGTCTGATGTCGTAGTTGTTCTGCAGTTGGGACTTCAGTGTTCTGACTTGTCCCATGAGTGTTCTGTGAAAGCGTTCGACGCTGCCTTGTGCTTGTGATGTGTATGTTGGTGCTTGTCGAACTGTGATGTTTCCTCCCATCTTAGCTGCTGTTGCTCTGAGAAGTGCTATGAGGTGATCCTCCTGATCTGACTGTAGGATTGTGCTGTTGAGTACAGCTTGTACTCTGCCACACTCCATGAGGAATGTTTGTATGCATTGGACGTGATATTGAAAGTCTGCTGTCTTGCTGTTGACAAGAACTGCCATGCTCATGCCTGTTTCCACGTCAATGCCTGTGAGGATTGGTGTTGTTTCCTTTTCTCCAAGTGTTTTGAAGAAACAAAAGTCGAATTGTACGACTGGTTGTTTGCTGTGTTGTCGTGGGTGGTTGTCTGCTCGTCCTTTGTTTTGAACACATGTTGGACACCAACTCCTGTAGGGAAGGTGTGTGAGTTCATGTTCAGCACGCTCTTGTGCTGTTGGCTGCTCTGGTGCTTTGATGCCTTTTGCTGTTCTGGCATCTAAATGTTCTTCCTCATCGATGTTGTAGTACTCCTCTTTGAACGCCGTGCTCTCCTCAAAGTTTGTTGAACCTGTCCATGTGAAGTTCATTGTTGCTGAGGTCTTTGTTGTCCAGTCATCATCAATCCTGTATCCTCTGGCTCCTGATGTTGGCTTAACTATTGTTTGTCTTTGTGGCAATAGCTTTGTGACATCTGGACCATCCATTGTTTGTTGTGGGATGTAAAGCTGAGTCCGTTGTTGTACATGGACTCTCTTCCAGTACTGTCCTTCTTTGATCCAGTAGTCTGCTGTTGCTGGTGTGTCCTTTGGTCCTGGAACTGCTGTTCCTGGATATGCTTGTTGCTTCATGGGCTGCTGTTGCTGTGGTACCAAAGGTTGTTCCACTGGCTTCTTCTCTCTGTGTCGAACTGCTGATCCTGTAGGCTGCTGAGCTTGTTGCTGCTGTTGCTGTGTCGTTGCCTTGGCTGCCGATGCCTTTGGTGTTGCTGATGCTGGCGCTGAAGCTGCTGTTGATGCCTTGGGCAACGGTGGTGCTGGAGGCTTTGTTGTCTCTTTGACTCTGAACCATGTTTCTCCTGACCATGCTGGTCCTGGAAGTCTTCTGTTCTGTCGTTGTTGTGGAAGGTCTTTGTATTTGTCCTCAAAGTCCTCAAGTGTTCCATCTGGCTTGTATGCTATTGTTCTTCTGTAGTTGTCCAGCTGTTCTTCTGGAACTGGACATTGTGCATCTGGTGTGAAGAGTGCCTTCCTTGTTCTCTTGTGTACCCTCACCAGATATCCTGTGCTGTTGTATATCCAAATGTCGTTGTTGTGTGTGACCCATTCAGGTCCTGTTGGTGTAATTGTCACTGGGGACACTGTTGCTCGAATGCCATGTGACGTCTCACATATGTCAAGCTTCATGTTGCTTGGCATTGGGCTGATGTTGACTGTAAGAAAATACAGTCCTTGTTGTTGCTTCAGTGTTGCTTCAAAGCCGTTGGTGTTGGTGATTGTTGGGTGATCGCTAAGCTGGATGTTGAAGCCCTGTGATGCCAGTCTTGTTACTGACAAAATGGGTTGTGACACGTCACACACATAAAAGGGTATGACGATCGGTTGTTGCTTGTTGTTCTTCATGTACACCCATTTGTAGCCATAGACTGTGATGTCTTCCTCTGTTGCTGTTGTGAGTCTTCGGCCTTGTTCTGGGTGAAGTTCATATGTTCTGTATGTTGGAGCAAACCATGGTGGGCAAACATGTGTTGCTGCTCCACTGTCAATCATCAAATCTTCTGTGGTGTTTGCCGGTTGCTCAGTTGCTGGCCGCTGCTTGTTGGACTGCTGTATTGAAATGGCTGCTATGTGGAGTTGTGGAACTTGCTGTTCCTGCGCGCTTGTTGGTGGGAGTGCCAGTTGTTGCTGTGGCAGTGCGCTGACCTGTGTTTGGTCATCATTCCACCATTGGCCGTCATAGTACTGTTGTTGTTGATACCATTGGGTTGTTGCATCATCTTGCCAATGGCCAGTGTATGTGTTGGTTGCAACCTCATTGAGGTTGTGTACTGCCACACGGCAGTCTCTTGCTATGTGACCTGGTTGGCCACATCTGTAGCATCCTTGTGTTGGGACCCCTTTTCCTTTTCCTGTTGGCTTGCCTTTGCCTTTGCCTATGTACCCTCCTTTGTTGTTGGATCCTTTGGGCTGCATTCCTTGCCCAATCTTTCCTTTGCCTTTGTTGTATCCGTAGCCATATCCTTTGCCTTTGTTGCTCTTGTTCTTTCCTTTTCCTTTGTTGGGCTTCTTTCCTTTTCCTTTGTTGTACTTTCCTTTGTATCCTTTGTTGACAGCTCCAATGTCCATAGGTGCCGGTCCTTCTTGGGCGTGTGTTGAGACGCTGGATGTCCCAGGTTGCTGGTGTAGCCTGCTGAGGGCTGTGGTGGCTCTGTAATATTCCATGATTGTTTCACGTACCTCTACGTATGTTGGTGTTGCTCCTGCATTCAAGTGCAGGTGTTGTTGCAGTGGGCCTGATGTCTCGTTCATCAGGACTGCAATTTTGATTTGGTCTGGTAGTGCTGTGTTGTTGTCTCTCTCATACCTTGAGAGCTCGAATTCCCAGTTGGAGAATGACTCCTCGAAGTTGTTGCTGTCAAATGTTGGCTTGAGCAGCTTTGTTAGGTACCCTATGCTTCTTGTTCCTAATGGTATGGCAAACCTGTTGCTGAGCTGCCTGTAGGTCTCAAGTCCCATCTCATGTTGATACTGTCTGCACACTGTTGCTGCAGCTCCTGTTGTTACGTTCACAAGTATGTACTTCAAGTTGTTGTCTAGTTGTACCCATCTGTCGGCTTCCTCCATGTTCTGTGCTGCTCCTCTCAAGTCTGCTTCTGTAAGTCGTTGTGTGGATGTTGCTGCACGTCGTAGGATGTTGGGGTAGAATGGGTCCATGAGGCCCATGTATGCTGTGAATTTGTATTTCCACTCCTCAAATGTGGAATAGTTGCCATCGTATGTTGGGGGCTTGAGTTTGAGCCGGTGTGTTGCTGCCAACGCTTCTGTCTGATCCTCTAGTGGTGCTGTTGGTGATGCCGCCATTGTTGCTTTGTAAAGTTTTGTTGAAGCTCCTCCAATGTCTTGGGATCAAGGCTTCTCCCTGTTGTCAGAGTGTTGTTGTTCAGCTGCTGCTTCCTCTGTTGTCTGGTGTGTTGTTTGTTGGGTGTTGTGCACAGTAATTGTTGAGAGTCCCCCAGTGTTCTGGGATCAAGCCCTCTGCCTGTTGTTTACTGCTGTTGCTTGGAGATGCCCCTGGTAAGGCAGAGCTCCGCTACCATGTAAAAGTGCGAGATGTTTCAAGCACTGTTGTCAAGCTGCAACTGTTGGCACCTTTTGCTGTTGCACGCACTCAATCTGTATGTTGTCAACAGGAGTTGACTCAAGGCCTTGAACCACAGGCCAGCGTTGATATGACATGTTGAATATGTACATTGACAGATGTTGCTTGATGTTGGTTGATGTTGGTTGATGTTGGTTGATGTTGGTTGATGATCCCATCAATGTTCATGAGTTGCCCCATGTTACCCCTACGTCTTCCAGTCGGAACCAGTGACGCGGTGAGGTCGCAGTGAGGTCGTTATCCTGAATTATAGATATATGATATATATATATATATCATTATATATCTATACCATAAGCCCTAGTTTGCCAAGTTGTGAACTATATAAGTTGCCAATGGGGCCCCAGATTGTAGGCAGTGGTTCATAACCTTGGCAAACCTTGCGAAACTACAACAGTCAATTCACCAAGCTGGAAATAGAACCATCTTCGGGAGGGTTCCTTATATCCAGCTCTAGTTTTGAGTGAGATCGCAGCAAGGTCGTTATAGAAAGCTATACTAAGATAATTCTTCCAACAAGTGTCAACAAACGTCAACAATATGCGAAGCCGCCAAAGGTGCTGACAAGTGGGATCAAATTCTAAACCTCGCTGCGATCTTGGCAGTGTAGGCTCTAAATGGTTAGAACTCCGTCGGGGTTCGTGGTAAATATGGCCATATTACACAGCAATGGCCCCAGAGTATCCGTTTGGAGTAGATGGCCATCGGGGACGGCTTCGGTACATGGGTCCCCCCAAAAAAATCCCTGCGACAAAGCATACCATACCCACAAGGTTGTGCCCCACCCCCAGGCAGATGTTTGTTGGTTTATAACCATAGTAGTTCGATATATCTACCATAAACCATAGTCATTGGAGTTATAAACCTACTGATATAAGACTGATATATTGTTTTTTTGCCTCATAAATACCCACTGATTGGTTTCTACTTAACTACTGGTGGCCCATTCAACCACATTTTTCAGCCCATTGCTTCTGCTTCGTTGCCGTATCTTGGCAACGTTGCTTCAGGCAATCCCGGCTGTCACAGATTTTGGGTCACCCATGGGTCACCCTGGCCACTTCGGTACTTCGGTCAGGCCTGAATGGCCTTCGCATTCTTGGATGCACTGGCAGGAAACCAGGTCATAAATATACATCCTCCCGGCGGCATGATGGCATGATGCTGTGCCATGTGCTTTCCAGGGTCAACAGATGGTAGATTTTTTTGGGTTCTTGTCATCCATCTCAGCCACATCATGGGTATCGAAATCCCGAGGAAGAAGGAAGTAATGGACTGATGACCAATTGCAACGATCACGTATAAACTATGGCACATTCATATGAATTCGAAAAAGTTGCTTATTCTTGCTTTCAAGCCAATGGGGAATCAATAGGACATCAATGGAAATCATATTAGTACCCTCTGGTAATTTAACATAACTATGGAAAATCACCATGTTTAATGGGAAAATCCACTATAAATGGTGATTTTCAATAGCTATGTTAAATTACCAGAGGGTAATCTATACTCCAATCATGATGGGTAAATGGGGGATGAATCGGATGGGCCTCGACGAATATATCCAGCCACTCCAAGTGGAAAATTACCATTTGGTTATGACTAACATAGCCATTGAAAATCACAATTTTTAATAGGTAAACCGGTAAACCATCTATAAATGGGCCATTTCCCATGGCTATGTTATATAAATAACCAGAGGGTATAATAAACCGTGTTCTTTTTTCACGTCAAGGCTCGATGAATCTGAACCCTGGTTGATGAACAACTAGAGGTTTCTTCCAAAAAACATAGTGATTTTTTATCCTACTAAAATTGTATCCACCAAAGTACATAGCCTAGGTGTTGATTAGTGCTGTGTGAACTTGTCAGCCAGGCTACATGGCGTGCCGGGAAGTGAAGGAGTTGCGAACACGATAGAAACAGTGGCCTTCATTGTTGCTGGCCTACTGGTTCCTCTTTCTTCTTTGCATCCATTTCCAATACCAAGACTGGCTGTTGATTTGAGGCCATCTCAAACTATGAAACACAGGCAATTTTGATCATCCCAAGAATCATTGAAATAAAAACTATTTCAAACCATTGAACAATATAGAACATCACCAGAAAAAAATATGGAAATGCAAGCTCTTTGATTATATAAACATAGAAACTCTTTGAAACCACCGAAACCACGTCACATCTTTTCCGGCTTTTGAGTGATGATCATGCCTGCTTGGGCTGGATCACTTGGAGATTCATCAGCATCGTAAACCCTTCGGAAGTCGGAAAAAAAGACAAACATACCTTCTGGTCATTTCACAGTTTGCTATTGAACATGGCCCAGTCGAAATAGCTGATTTACCAATTCAACATGGTGATTTTCCAGTTCGCAACATGTACACGTTTACCAGAGGGCAAACGGTCTTTTCGTGGGACTGGGACGTTTAATAAATCTGGTTCAATGGAATATCATTGCAGTTTTTATGGCAATGAAACATGGTTGGCGGGGAAATCCCTGCAGCCATGGAGGCTTTACTCAAGTGGGAAAATCAACAACTAAAGTACGTGTGGGATTTTCCAGCAAACCATGTTTGATTGCTGGCGGGTGGATTATAGAAGAATAATTTTGACCTCCTTGGTTCTAAACCATTTTGGATCAACATTGCCAAATTGCAAAAAGCTTGTGATTGTCGTCAACTCCAAAAAAAAGGTAACCAACAAGTACAAAACCATCAACAAGTAAGATTACTCCACGAGTTTGATCCAAAAAATAAAACATACCGAAGCCATGCGGATGTTTCCTGAAATAGGGGTACCCCTAGTTATCATCCATTTTTGATTGGGATGTTCCATGGTTCAAACCATCCAGCGATAAAGGTCTACCCCCATTTGGGGAAACCTCCATATATTCATCGACAAGTTGTTTTTTAACCGATTGGTTTAAGGGAAAATGTTACCCTCTGGTAAACTAAAATAGCTATTGAAAATGGCCATTTATAGTGGATTTTCCCATTAAAAATTGTGATTTTCCATAGTTATGTTAGTTTACCAGAGGGTAACCGGAAACCCCCAAATGAAATCTGGTTGGTGTTTTCAACCTATCCCTCTGAAAAATGATGGACTTCGTCACTTGGGATGATTTTCCATTCCCAACTGAATGGAAAATCATAAAATTCATGTTCCAGTCACCACCAGTCAGCGTATGGATCTATTAAGTCCATATTAAGATATCTTAAGTCCCATTAAGCCCTATTAAGTCCCTATTGTTGATGGTTTAAATGTTCCAAACCACCAACCAAAATCTGACTGTGGCTATCCCTGAACTAAACATGGACCAGTCATCCAGTCACCACCCAGAAATGGTCAAAACCCATGGCTTTTTCCCCTAGCGTCCTGGCATCATCCGAGCCGGCCGCGATGTATCTACCGTTGGGGGACACCTCGCAACACCGCCTTGGCACCGCAATGGCAGCAATGGACTGGTTTTCTTGAGAAAATCGAAACCGGAAACCAGAGATTTTCCTATGAAATATGGTGATTTTCCCATGAAATATGGTGATTTTCCAATGAAATATGGTGTTTTCCAATGAAATATGGTGTTTTCCCATGAAATATGGTGATTTCCCTATGAAATATTGTGTTTTCCCATGAAATATTGTGTTTTCCCATGAAATATTGTGTTTTCCAATGAAATATGGTGATTTTCCAATGAAATATTGTGTTTTCCAATGAAATATTGTGTTTCCCCATGAAACATGGTGATTTTCCAATGAAATATTGTGTTTTCCCATGAAATATGGTGATTTTCCAATGAAATATAGTGTTTTCCAATGAAATATCGTGTTTTCCAACCAAATATGGTGTTTTCCAATGAAATATGGTGTTTTCCAATGACATATGGTGTTTTCCCAGTGAAATATGGTGGTTTTCCCATGAAATATGGTGTTTTCCTGTAAATTTTCCCTTAGACCAATCCATTGACATCAGCATTGGGGTTTAGCAGCCACACTTAATCCAACAGCAAAGCATGATGGTTCCGAATCGACATGATCATGGCTAATAATCATATTATATATATATAATTATATATCCCTAAGGATCCATGTATGGAATATTTACCTACATTGGGATTATTTTAAATTACTTTAGGGGTCAATGTAGGCAAATATTCCATACATGGATCCTATGGGTGTATATATATATATATATATATCAATTGTAATCCCCCATGTGGTTATTAATATGTACACTCCAGTAAATTAACATAGACCCTGCCAGTTGTCGGGGTTGGAAGACTAGTTTCCGCTAAAAAATGGTGATTTTCAGGGTCAACAAGTTAATTGATAATAATCATATCTCAGGTGGAAACAGGCATTGTCAATTATCATGAATCATTACTTGGTGGCTCATCCCACTTAGTAAGTGGGTTATAACCCCATAAGTGGATTAACCCTACTTATCCCATTTATAACTGGGTTATAACCCACTTACGAAGTGGGATGAGCCACCAAGTACCCTCCTGTAGAGGCTTCCATGTGGAAAACCGGCCATGAATGTAGATCATGTTCCGAAGCGGTTTCCCCATGGCTTTTCTACATCCATGTTTGTTTACCCTGTGGTATCTTCCCTCTGGTAATTTAACATAGCTATGGAAAATCACCATTTTCAATGGGTAAATCCACTATAAATGGCCATTTTCAATAGCTATTTTGACATAACCAGAGGGTATCTTCTACCTTAACGAATGAATTTTCGAAAAACTTACAGATACCCAAAGATATACCCATTCAGATTCCCGGAATTAGTTGAAGGGTTGAGGGCAAAAAACGAACCATTGCCACGTGACACCGTGACGGTGGGCTATTTCTACTTCGTCCAGAGTCATCGGGTTAGAAGTTGATTTTCTCATTAAAAATTGTGATTTTCCATAGCTATGTTAATTTACCAGAGGGTAAACCTATTGGAAAACCTATTGGGATAAGTATGATTGACAGTATTCATGATTATTATCAATTCCAGTATATCATCATCTGGTTGCTGGTGCAATAACAATCTTGAAAAATGATGGAGTTCGTCAATGGGAAGGATGACATCCCATATATGATGGAAAATAAACAATGTTTGAAACCACCAACCAGTCATGATCGTAGCCTTGTAACAATTATCATGCCATAGGACATCAATCATTAACTAATTATCTGGTTGGTGGTTTCAACCCCTCTGAAAAATATGAGTTCGTCAGTTGGGATGATGAAATTCCTAATATATGGAAAACTAATAAATGTCCCAAACCAAACCACCAACCAGATTAACCAGTTATGAAACACTCCGATCTTTTGCTTCCATCTGAGTCCTTCACAGTCGGACCAGGACGTCTGGTGGGCCTTCGATACAACCTCCAGGGATGTGGGTTCTGGTGTTCTCAGTGCGTACACATTGAAAAACACGTATTTACTCCAAAAGTTTCATACCTTTTTCAGTTTTTTTGGGGTCAGCGAATCGAATCAAAATGCATAGAACTACGATCCACTTTTGGGTTAAGTATGTACCGGTACTCAGTGTTGACCCTTCCGGTATGACAATTGCTACTAGAAGTGTGCCAAAAAATGATTTGGAAAGAACAATCTACTAGCTGGACAAATCAAAAACGGCATATTTTCCTTGGGATTGGATTCTACATTATATGATATACCCTTTGGTTATTTAACATAGCCATGGAAAATTACCATTTTCACTAGGTAAGCATAGGTAAGCCATCTATAAATGGACCATCTATACCATGGCTATGTTAAATAACCAGAGGGATATGAGTGTCTCAGAAATGAGTATACGGTGTACCGTATACCGGTGTAACCCATGCATTGCAATTTTCATGCAGAGAAATAATGTATATACCCTCTGGTAAACGTTTACATAACTATGGAAAATCCACCCATTGTTAATGGGTAAATCCACTAGTTCGACTGGGCCATTTTCAATAGCAAACTGTAAACGTTTACCAGAGGGTAAACCGTTGGGATGTTGGAGTCCCACTCGAGCCACTCGAGCCAGAATCAGCACGCCAAAAAACAGCAGTGCGCAACCAGTCGTGATCTGAAAAATCCATCCATGGATCGATCGAAACTTGAACGATACTGGCTGGTGGTTGACCTACTCCTCTGAAAAATGATGGAGTTCGTCAGTTGGGATGATGACATTCCCAACTGAATGGACAGTTATAAAAAATGTTCCAAACCACCAAGCAGGATAAATGGAAGAACAGCACTAAGAACAGTCATCCACTAAGGCCTATCATCATCATCATCATCATCATCAGCAGCAGCAGCAGCACAACCACTGCCACTATGGCTGCCGCCTGTGGGATCTGGGTAATCCACATCCCAAAACAAGAGCTTTCCATCTTGGGCACAGCTCACCACCTGGCCAAAACGCCAGGTTATTGTCGAAGTTTTGGACTTGGAACACCGGGAAAACACGGGATTCGGATTGGGATTGTTCTATTCTAAACAATGGTGATAATCATTGTTTCTATGGTTTTGCATATGTACAAGCGTACGTATTTATCTTATTGCTGGTTTCAACCAGTTGCTTTCTTGAAGATGAAGGCTTGCCACCGCAGTTCCTCGAAATGACCCAACTTTACATGGTCAATCCTAGTCCTACCCTGCACAGCCTGCTTAAACAGTTCTCTCTCAACTAGGTTGGTGTATACCAGGAACAACAAACAGTTTGAAGGGTATCTAGGACAACTGGTTCCTGGATGCTTGGTGTATATTCCAACAACAATAACTACAACCGGTGGCTTCAACCATGATCATCCCAAGATAGGATTCCCAGGATGGTAAAACACAAATAGTACTTAAAACACCAGATATTGTTGACCCTCTGGTAAACGTTTACAAAAAACGAACTGGAAATTCCACTCATGTTATAGCTGAGTAAATCCACTATTTCGACTGGGCCATGTTCAATGTCGCAAACTGCAACCCGTTTACCAGGCCGGGTATTCCAACAATATCCCCTTAGATCAATAGCCGATCATAGTCGATCCAAGCAAATCAACACTTGGTTGCGGCTCCAACAAAATTGAACATATTCCCTTAATTGATTCCCCAGATGGTGGCTTTCCCATTGGGAAAATAAAGATCACCTTAAACAAACCCAGGTTATCTTCCCTTTATACAGTATCCCCATTTTTGATGGTTAAATATTTGTCACCAATTATGGATGCTGAAGTGATCAATGTTCAGCATGTTTAATAGTTGAACCATAGTTAGTTATTAGCTATTTTTGATGATGGACATATGTGAAATCCAGTTGAATCTATTTTTGTTCACCATGAACATCACAAATGTTGATGGTTTTCACCATTGTTCACCATTTTATAATAGCTAAATCCCCAATGGTTAACCGTTTTTTCCACAGAAAATGGTTGAACCAGCCCTTGTTCGCGTGCCTCGTTGTCATGGTCCTTCCGCTGAGAGATGCTTGTGATGTTGCCGCCCATCCTGAGGATCAAGTTTTTTTTTTTGGTGACAGACCCCAGAAACATAGATCATAGGTTAAATAATTTAGTTAAATATGGCTTGTAAATGGATATCGTTGGGATATCATTGGGATATAATGCCATATAATGCCATATAATCTATGGGATATCATGGTATATCATGGGGATATAATCTATGGTCAGATATGGCTTATATATGGTTAATATTTCCCCCAAGAATGGTTGATTTTGTAGGGTAATGTCTATGACGGTTTGTCAAAATGTCTGTTCCCGGTTTTGTTGATAAATCGCAATTCCATGCGTGCCGCCTCATGTTTGCCTTTAAAAAACATGACCTACCTTGATGACGTGAAAACGTGGAAATTCTTCGTTACCTTTGGAAATCTTTCTAAAACCACAGGAATCGGCTAACGCACGTCGGTTTTCATTCGCTGTCGCTGGTACTATCTCCTGAACTGTGTGTCTCTGTGTGTGTGTGCCTCTCTGAATGCAATATGCTTCTTGACATGCCTCCTGATCAACGCTGTTTCCTTACTGTAAGCTACCAAAGCGTGAACATGGCTGTGCCTCTGAATGGGCTGCGGGTGGACCGGGGCATGTATTTGCAATTTTCGCTAGCGCGTTGCTAGCGGCGATCTAGCGCGTAAAATACGTTAAAAAAAAACGAAAACTTGGGAATATGTGGAAACTGACAGACTTGTAAGAAAAGCTGGCAAGACATTCACGACATGGAGGCCTATGGCTGTCAATCAAACCTAGCGCAAACCTAGCGGGTTTGCTAGCGCTGCCTTGCAGAATTGCTGAATTTAGTTGCGTGCCGCCTCATAACGAAGAGGAAAAAACAGTAGACCCAGATGAATTACCAACAACCAATACTGAACTTCTAAACAACTATTTTTGACAAATGGTCCTATGAACATTGGGATTGAACGAGTTTGAATGGGGATATACTGCTGTATATCATGGGATGTATCACTTACTTAAGAGTACAGTTTGGGCTTGAAAAGGGGTCTAATTGGATTCTAATTGGGACTTAACCGATGTAACTATCAACAATAGAGCTTTCATTGGGATTTAATATGGGATATATAACCAACCACAACCATAACTATTTGGGGTGATAAATGGGTAGAACTTCCACCGCAATAACCCCATAAGCATATAAGATACCCTCCTTTGTGTCATCAGCTCCATGTCCTGCCGGAAATCGCGAAATCGCAATAGTTCGATGATTCAGCGAACGAAACCTCCATTGTTTAGTGAATGTTTCCATAGTTTACTATAGCTCTATGAAAACATTCACTAAACATAGTTTACTTCCATAATCACCTCATCACTTATTGCAATATAATATAGGATTTTCACAGCTTACATGGTACACCTTCATTTAGTTCGGGGATTTCCCAGCTAGCCCATGTGGTCGTGGTTTTTCACTTCAGGGAGCAAAACAATTTTGATGTTACTCAGCTGCAAACATGGCTAGCTGGAAAATCCTCAATAAATGGGGCTTTCCTATGGGAAAATCATAGGAAAATCCTCTACAAATAGGATTTGAGTGGGAAATTCATCGAACTTTTCCAGATTTTCCAGCAAGCCTTTGATTTTTGCAGATGCTATTTCTGAAAGATATACAAAAAAAGATCACGGGGATATTGATATGAGGTTATCTCATAAACTGGGAATGGCTGATGCCATGAGATCACCTCCCATGAAAAATCGCAACTGGTTGGTGGTTGACCTACCCCTCTGAAAAATCATGGAGTTCGTCAGTTGGGATGATGAAACTCCCAATACCCTCTGGTAAACTAACATAACTATGGAAAATCACCATTTTTAATGGGAAAATTCACTATAAATAGCCATTTTCAATAGCTATGTTAAATTACCAGAGCGTATATGGAAAGTTATAAAAAATATTCCAAACCACCAACCAGTATGGAATACATTGTATTCCTCAACAAAAACCTCCCATGACTGAGTCTGTCAGAAAATGGGGTAGCCTGGGTTGCCATACATCGTTTATCACCACCCGGTCGAAATTGCCATACATTGGGCGTATTGTAAATTCCCCTTTTTCACACACACCCACCATATTTCCCAAACAATAAATAAATCTGAACTACAGTCAATACTGTTTTTTTTTACGGTCAACAGTCAACATAATTATAAATTCTACATCCTATGGCCACTTTAAATCTAGAATCAACAACAAACAAAAATAACTTAATCCCTTCCCCCGTTCATATTAAACACACCCTAAACGAAACCATGGTTTTTTGTTGGGAATTTCAACCATTTTTGTTGGGATGGGGTTACCCTAAACATCCCCAAAATCTCAGGCAGATCTTTGCCAGGACTGGGTCTACCACGACGCACGTTAGCTCGCCAGGGCACGAGGTATGCTGGACCAGAGCTTTGTTTTGCTTCAGATCCTAGGCCCAGCGCCGGCGGATCTAACCTCCATGTCCAAGCAATGTTATAGAGATATAGACTAGATATAGATATGGATATGGATAATTCGATTAGTTATGTTTAGATTTAGAGATTTAGAATTAAATTCAGAGTTAGACTTAGAAGTTAATTATATATATATTATATATATATAGATAGATAGAGTATGACTCATGTGCTAAACTCAATGCGAGCGTAGCTCCCTCCACTGCTCCCTCCGGGTCCCCGTGCGTAGGTGACCACCAACTTATCCTCACTCGCAGAGTGAACCACGTGAGGACTCACCTCGAGTTCGGATGAGTGAAGTCCATCGCTCCAGGTGTTGTTTTTTTTGTGCAGAAAAACAACTGGTTGGTGGTTAAAAAACCATCTTAAAAAATATGACTTCGTCAATGGGAAGGATGACATCCCATATATGAAATGGAAAATTCAAAAAATGTTTGAAACCACCAACCAGAGAAACATCTGAATTTGGGAGTCTGACGAAACAGTACTGAATCGGCTCAATCCATATATGAATTCTATCAAACATGGATTTGTTTCAGGGAAAATCTGCATGAAACCATGGTTTTTGCCAAACAAGTAGGGGCTTAACCTCATCAAAAATGGAGGATTTTTATGAGTAGAAGTATGCCTTGGTTTAGTTGGAGAAATCTGAGCAGGAAACCATGGGTTTTTTGCCCAAAAAAAACAGAAAAAACATCAGGTGTTTCCGGCAAATTGTGAGATTCTAAGGGGATTTTTCGAAGAACACAGACAAAACACAGATGTAAAACATCTAAAGCAGTTGCCGTTGCTGATATTAAACATATGGCAGTGTGTCAAAACCCATGGAATCCCCTGTAGTTCACATCAAGTCATAGCTGGGATTTATGGATGTGAATAACCCCCTAAAAATGGTATTAATAGGTATTGATCCATATCCATAGAATTATTCTGATTGGTGGTTGGTTTCTACCCCTCTGAAAAATATGATGGAGTGAGTTCGTCAGTTGGGATGATTGTTATTCCCAACTGAATGGAAAGTTATAAAATTCATGTTCCAAACCACCAACCAGTATATTAGCTATATACCATCTGTTCATATAGCCATGGAACATGAATGAACATGATCCATTATTCCCCTATGAAAATAAATTCATGTTCCAAACCACCAACCAGCTTATTTAGTTGATTTAGTTCGGGGATTTCCCAGCCACCTTTGAATACCGGAGGGTCAAATGGAAATCCATTTCTTTCAGAAAGGAAACTCGTTTAGAAAAAGGGTCATGAAAAGTTGGGTACCCTCTGGTAAACTAACCTAACTATGGAAAATCACCATTTTTTATGGGTAAATCCACTATAAATGGCCATTTTCAATAGCTATGTTAAATTACCAGAGGGTACTTTCCAAGCATTGGATGGTGAATCCATGTTACCCTCTGGTAAACGTTTACATGTTGCGAACTGGAAAATCACCATGTTTAATGGGAACACTCCCTATTTCTATGGGCATTTTCAATAAGCTATGTAAACGTTTACCAGAGGGTAATCCTACAAATAGACTTTCCAATCATGTGTTACCCCCCCAGGTCTTGAATGTTGACTCTGAATCTAGAAATTGATTTCTCTAAAAATAGGCTACCTTTCCCCCTATTACTAAACGGTCCCCCCGCTCCACAAATAATAAACACCTGGAGGAGTTTTTTGTATTAGGGGGTATTTAGTATTAGGGTGCGAAGCTTCCCCCTAATACTAAATTAAACACCCTATACTGCCTATACTATTTTTTGTGTTTCCTATTTCAAAATCGATTAGATTTCCTTTTAAAATCTAATTAAAATATTGCCAAAAAAATTGATTTCGAAGCCTTCCCCTAATACTAAATTAAACACCCTATAATATAACAAACTATTTTTTCTATTTCAAAATCGATTAGATGTCCTTTTAAAATCTAATTAAAATATTACCAACAATTGGATTTCGAACCTTTCCCCTAATATTAAATATTAAATCAAAGACACTAATATAAAATACTTGTTTTTTTCGACCTTAAAAGACAGACCCTAATAAAAAACACCCGGGGTTGACTATAGTTTTTAATATTAGGGGGTGAAACCCTGAAATGGGACCTTCATTTTTAATTTGTTTTCGAAAGGGGATCAATAAAAAATCAAATTGGCCAGTGTGAAATTTCCGAAACTTGAACGCGGACCCTAGTTTTTAGTATTTGGCGTACGTTTAGTTTAGTAAAAGGAGGTGGGGATTACATACCCAATTCCTGTAGATGGAGCCATCAGTTTCCCTATCAAAATGGTTCTGACTCCAATCGATTATCATAAGTTTCCCTATCAACAAATCTGGTTGGTGGTATACCTACCCCTCTGAAAAATATATAAAAATATGAGTTCGTCAGTTGGAATGATGACATTCCCAATATATGGAAAGTCATAATCCAGTCATGTTGCAAACCACCAACCAGTGTATAGATCTATTAAGTCCATATTGAGATATATTAAGTCCCATTAACCCATATTAAGTCCCAGTCATGTTCCAGTCACCACCAACCAGTTATTCCGACTGTGGGTATCCCTTCTAAACATGGACCATCCAGCGCCCCATCCGAGGCGTTTTTTAAAAACCGAAAAACCTCATCCAGGACCAGATCCGCCACAGGTTTCCGATGATTCTGGAAGGACCTCGAGGGTTCCGACTTTTCGGCACCATCTTATGGCTTGGGAAGAAGCCCGGAGCATGAAACATGGTGGAAACCGTGCTGGAGAAAGTGTGAAATATATGGAGTTCACGGGTAATCATGGTGATGGGGATTGAATGGTGACAAATGGAGATTGAATCATGACAAAATAGGGATGCAACCAATGAAGCATGGTATTTGGCTGTGTTTGAAACTGGGGTACACCCCTAAGTTATGGCAAAGCCAACTGAATGTCAGTGGATTGATGTACAGTAAGGGAACATCTATTGACTGATGGGATAATCACAATTAATACTATCAATAATATTAATCCTATTCATGATGATTGAAAAAATCACATTACTCTGAATGAATGTACCCTAAACATCCCTAAACCAAAGTCAACCTCGTCAGAAATCAACTTAGCTATCTCGGAGGTCCCACATTGTAGATGATTCACCCTATGGAACATCGGAATGCAACTCCTGTGTTTCTTGGAGGATAGGCATTAGCCTTGAGGATTTTGCAACTGCATTCTAAGACTATATATGACTACCCTCTGGTTATGTCAAAATAGCTATTGAAAATGGCCATAGAAATAGTGGATTTACCCATTAAAAATTGTAATTTTCCATAGCTATGTTAGTTTACCAGAGGGTATATCATATCAAATATCAAGACTGTTTTTTGGAGGCCATGCACATTGACAAACAAGAAAAAGGACATGACTAAATGACATTGACATACATTGACATCATACCAATCAAAATGGTGTCCCCCTCCCAACCAAAGCAACCATCTGTGTTTGCCCCATGTCACACGCGGTATATCTGTCGAGTGTTTCCAATCTTCAGGTCATCAACCCAGCACATTGGCTGCTGTGAGTTGGAGTGCTCTGAATTCTTAAGATTCTTAAGAAAAATCAACCCAGCATGTGACTGTTCATCATGATTACCCTCTGGTAAACATACAAAAAGCTATTGAAAATGGCCATTTATAGTGGATTTTCCCATTAAAAATGACGATTTTCCATAGTTATGTTAGTTTACCAGAGGGTAACAATGTCAAACTCTGAATCATGATTGATGGTATGGTGGTGTGAAAATATGTGTTCATATTCCCGCGTTAACATCAAGGACTGACCATCATGCCATCATGCCATGTACCATGAACCAGGCACTGAGAGGTGCTTCCAGTTATAGTTCTTGGTTCTTTTCCCCCATAACCTTTTCTACCATAAACATCTACAGACCGTCGATTTCACCTCCTAGTGAAATAAACCAATTCAGTTTTTCTTGTTTGGGAGCACCTGATTTTCCCCATTAGATCCCATTATAATTTCTGAATATCCCCATTACTGTTTATCCCAATATACCCTCTGGTAAACTAACATAGCTGTAGAAAATGGCCCTTTGATAGTTGTTTTACCTATATTTACCCATTAACAAATTGTGATGTTGCATAGTTATGTTGTCGTTTACCAAAGGGTACCATTAAAATCCAAATGATATCCCTAGTATATGGCAATCATATGCCATTATATCCCCATTGATACTTGTTCAATCCCAAATTCATAGACACTACCCTATAAATCAACCATTATTGGTGACAATTAACCATATATAAGCCATATCTGACCATAGATTATATCCCCATGATATACCATGATTCTCCATAGATTATATGGCATTATATGGCATTATATCCCAATGATATCCCAATGATATCCCCATCAAAACCACCATTTTTGGTGCCCGAAACACAGTCGTTCCCATGGACGACTGCAGAAAACTCCAAGAAGCGAAAGCATCTCTCGGGACTTCCGGTGCCAGAAGCCTTGGCGAAACACACAACGCTGCGGCCTTCAAAGGATTGGAAAACCCATAGGGAAAACCATAGGAAAATGGTGATTTAACCAGGAGAAATTGGGGATTTGATGTGATTTGGTGCGCTGATTTGCAAAAGAAAATGGTGATTTAACCAAGACAAATAGGGATTTTACATTGTTTTTTGTGGGCTTTAGAGCTGATTTATGATAGTTAGGTGAACATAACTCCACTAATTAATGGTTTGTGATACTTATTTAACGATGGTATTCATGGGGATTATAAATCAACAAACATAACTGGGCGGCCTCACATTAAGTTATGTCCCGACTTAGGGGTTGTATCGCACCAAACACGATGATTTAATGAGTTGTCAATTGTGTTCATTTGTTTTCAACTTGGCGGTGCAGTGTTTATGGAGTTGAGTGGCGATTTAAGCCTCAACTTGGAATTGATTGGAATTGATTGGATTTGAAATGGATATGATTGAATGGGATATACAACCAACCACAACTGTTCCTTTTGTTTCATGGCAGGTATTTTCTGGTATAATCACGGTATGAACCTCATAAATTGTTTTTTTTTTCTAACCATTTATTTGGAGGTTCACCCCAGAAAGCGCGAAGCACCAAATATTTCCAACCCCTCTAAAAAATATTAGTCAGTTGGGCTTATTATTCCCAATATATGGAAAACTGTTCCAAACCACCAACCAGTTTGTTAGCTATATACCATCTGTTCATATAGCCATGGAACATGAATGAACATGATCCATGTTTGAGATGATTTCCGTATCATGGCCATGTTCCAGGGCCTCGATTTCCAGGGTACCATAAAAAACCTCGGGGCGACCCATGCATTTTTCTTAGATATCATGAAGTACCCGTATCTGCAATAGTTATGGTTAGTAATAGTTATAGAACCATCATATTATTGCAATAGTTACATAACTTAGGTATATAACTTATAGTTATATATGGTTAGTTATGATTATATAACCAGATTAGATAAGATAGACCCTGAAAGTATTTTTCTTCCAACCCCTATCTGCAGGGGCCAGGAGAGGAGTAGCCAGCAGGGTGATGTAGCAGTGATGGGGGCAGGGGAATACCGGTGTTCCAACCGAACTAGCCAACCATCAGTTCCTGATTATACATGATATTTTGTGCTTGCTTAAGTACCCTTTTAACCAACAGTTAAAACATATTCAAAATAAATAGTGAGCTACTTAGTTAAGTATATTTTTTCCAGTTCATGGGTTATAATAATTCCCAAGAAAATTCAAGAAACCAAACATACCACTGTCACTTTATCACCATTGAATCGCCATCAAAAAGTCGTCATCTTTCATAAATACACCCATCATGTAAAATCTATCCACACTCACCATTCTTGTGGGAATCAGAACTTAAATCCGGATGTTTTTGGAGATCTTAAATCCCAAATTCATCCAAAATCATTGAATCAGAACTGGAATCCCCACTTTTTTGGAGAATCAGATCTGAACTCCACATTGAAATCCCCATTTTTTCACCCAAAAATCCCTAAGTGTCACCATCCCACGGCCGCCAAAAGGCGTACAGCGCAGTCTCCCCCGCCGGTGACCACGAAGTGCGGCGACGCCCGGACGCAGGTCACGCCTTGCCTGCGATTTCAGCATCGGAAAAGGGTCCAATATGTTTTCAAACATGTTCTGAACGATGAACCATTAGAATAAAAATGAAAGATTGTAGTTGTCTGATATAGTCTGATATAGTCTGATATAGTCTGATATAGTCTGATATAGTCTGATATAGTCTGATAATCCACCTCTGGTAATGGTTCATAGTCTGAGATTGTGGTTGACCTCTGGTTTTTTGTTGATCGTCTGATATAGTCAGAACTCATGGCCCCTTGAGTTTTATGATGTACCCAGCAAGAAATGGTGCGGCTTCGCACCAGTGATTTTGCCGTATTTTGCCATACTGAAACATGGTGGATGGTACCAACAATAAAAACTTCTTGGTGGTATACCTACCCCTTTGAAAAATGATGGAGTGAGTAACAGTTGGGATGATTTTCCATTCCCAACTGAATGGAAAGTCATAATCCAGTCATGTTCCAAAGCACCTACCAGAAAATGGTGAAAGAACCTGGATTCAACCATCAAAAATCGTCAAATCTTTGATTGTACCAGTGGATTTCCACCATAAAACATGGTACCTTCTGGTTATGTCAAAATAGCTATTGAAAATGGCCATTTATAAAATTCATAGCGAGTTGTCCCATTAATATGGTGATTTTCCATAGTTATGTAAACGTTTACCAGAGGGTCAACAATATCTGAGATTTAACCCTCATGGTGAACACATGGGTATCTAGCCAGCACCAATTGTGGAAAATATCAATGTACCTGGCCAAAATGATGAAATTGATATGAACAATGGGGATGTATGGGGATGTATGATACGATATCATGGAACAATTGAAACGACCAAAGGTAGAGGTTATATTCCAATGATATAGTGGTTGAATTGTTGTTTTGCGTGCTACTCGTACATACCCTGCAAAAAGATGTAGGTTGGTATTACATATCCGGGTCCATGACCTAACAAAACTACTAAACATCCCAGACCATCCATGGAAAGTGTATGTACACAATTTTACACAACCTTTTTTTTAATCGAGCAAGATAATCCAGAGCTCGGCAATTAGATGTACTTAGATGTACATTCGGATGGCTTTGGATGATGACGTTCACTTTAAAAAAAACAACGATCAACGATCCGGGATGTGTCTAGCCGAGCTTCGTTCTGTTCTGTTGCCCAACATCAACCATTCGGGGGATCAAACAACCACCTAAGATTTTGTCTGTACACCCCCTGTTTGTAAGATATACAGTACGTATATGTAGATACAGTAAGTGTGTATAATATACCCTCTGGTAATTTAACATAGCTATGGAAAATCACCATTTTTAATGGGAAAATCCACTATTAATGGCCATTTTCAATAGCTACGTTAAATTACCAGAGGGTACAATAATATACACAGTTCCAAGCTCCATATTCCCATCCAATTTCCAATGCTGGCCATGGTTGAGATCTCTTCAGTGGTTGGTTTGAGCATAACATACCTCAAAGCCTCGATTTTCTCAAAGAAACACACATAACATACCTATCTAACATCATGCAGCCACCTCCCATTCTAGATGAGAAGAATTCACAATCATCCCAATCATCCCAATCATCCCCCATAAACCAAGTATTTCACCACGTAGTATACTACCCTTTTAAACATCACCAGGCGTTATTTCACCACTGCTCCAAGGCCGGCAGTCCCTGCGCCTGTGGCAGTTCATCTGCCACAGCTGTTTGCTGACGCCCTTCTCAGAGGACCAGGCGCGAATGTAGCCGTCATCCTGCAAGGATGGGACTGCTACCCTCTGGTAAACATACAAAAAACTATTGAAAATGGCCATTTATAGTGGATTTTCCCATTAAAAATGGTGATTTTCCATAGTTATGTTAAATTACCAGAGGGTAAGTGACGGAACGGGACAACGGGAACAGCAATGTGGTAAGCCATGGTAAAAAAAAAGAAAAACATACGAATAAACCACCAAGATCACCAGAAATGGATGGGTATCTATAGCTAATTCATGAAAAATGTGGGTTTACTAGTTTGTGATGGGCTTTATCACATTGCCGTTAACCCTCTAGTAATTTCACGGAGCAACTTTTACCAGGTTGGTTTTTCTTTTCTTGAAGAGCAAAACGGCATGGTACTTTTTGGATACGCTCAAGTAATTTGAGATGGCATGGAAATTCCCCATGAGTTGTTTCAAAATTGCTATTTTAGGGGGAAACTGATGATACTGATGGTTACCCTCTGGTAAACGTTTACATAGCTATAGAAAATCACCATTTTGAAGAGGTAAATCCATTTTTATATCCTCTATCAATATGGGGTATCTTCAATAGCTATGCAACAAATTACCAGAGGGTAATGACTAACATAGCTATTGAACATGGCCCAGTCGAAATAGTGAGTTTTCCCATGAATAGCATGGTGGATCTTTCCATAGTTTTTTGTAAACGTTTACCAAGAACTTTAGAGGTGCCCATAGTGCCCAAAGTGCAGACCCAAGGTCATCGACCACCTGCGGAGTCCCTTAAAAAGCCGTGCCGTTAGTGTCGAGTGACGTAGGCTGCAAGAATCTCACCGTCCCCGGCAAAGACCTGGATGGATCCAGAGCCGGACTTGGCAACAGCTTTTCGGGCAGGATGGATGCCGGAATCTGGTGAAAACTGGGGACTGAAGCAGTACCCTCTGGTTATGACTAACAGTTCGCCATGGTTTTTCGATGGCCCTAATCGAAATAGATGGTTTAACTATTAAAAATGGTGATTTTCTATAGCTATTCTAGCTCCAAGTTACCCAAATTCAGAAAATGTACATATACTATGAATCCATCGTACTCCAGACCTGTCTCTTTGGACCCACTGTTTTCCCAACCTGTTTCCCTGTGTGTGACATGTTTCACACCTGTGAAATGACTGGTTGCGATGGGAAGACCCTTTCAGCTCAATTTGGAAATTGTTTGGCACCATGTCGATGCCTTGTGTTGTTCCTGAAATGCTATGGAGCCTGGATGAGCTAAAGCGTGTCCTGATAAGTGAGTTTCCCATTTTGGAGACTGAAGAAGGAGAGGGTTTCAAAATATTGTTTGACTTGTTTGTTGAGTGGGCTGAAATCCTGTTAAATTACAACAACCAGCATCCGCTCGCTCTGTTGAATTTGGGAAATTGTGGCCCAGAATCCTTCTCTCAGGGGATTTCCGGCCGCGCATACTCATGTCGCATCGCACTCGAGGGGTGTCATCGCACCACAGAGAACCCCATCGCACTCCACACACCTACTCACAGATCATCGTACTCCACAAAAGGGATCGTACACCCGAAAAACTTGCGCAGACAGCCAAAAACATTTTTTTCAAAAAATTGACCTGAAGAGTTTTTTTTATTTTTTTTCCCTCTTCGGAGGTAAAATGCTCTGGAATCTGATAATATGGAATATGGGGGAAATTGTTGTTTTTCCAGCGTTTTGAGCAGTCGCGCATACAATCGCATTCCATGAAATTTTGATACTTTTGACCTGTGGAGGCTATGGAAATTCTCGATTGTTGTCTTAGTCGTGCGCGATAGAGTGTGATGCCTTGTGGGTATGTGGAATGGAATTTGCAGCCTCGATTTGGTCAAAAATGATATTGACATATGCCTGAGAAGCCCACATGCAGGAACGGCAACGCATACGGGGGGGGCATCGTACTCCAGGGGTGGCATCCTACTCAATGTAACTGTATTAAGTGGAAATATGGTACCATTTGGGTTCGAGGAAGAACAGCGTAATCCAGACTTGGCCCCGTTTACAGATGCGGAAGCTGAGCCGCCAGCCAAACGCGTCAAAAAATAAGCTGAACAGCTTATCCAATGGTCTTAAAAGATCCTAGAGAGAAGTTGATGATTGATGAGAGAAACAAGACTTTATGATTATGTTTATTCAAAAAATCATTGCTTGAGAAGGTTCTCAGCGGGGTTAAACATGTGCGATTGGACATGACAGCACGTGACAAGGGAGCGCCTGACAAGGGTCACACAACCTTATTCTCATCATCAAAGGTCGTTCATTATTTTCCAAATTTCCGGAGCTATTTTGGCATGGAATATGAACAGCCTTGGAATATGGGTAAGGTTTTGCTAGAGCTATGTTAAATAACCAGAGGGTAAACCAAGGGTTGATTTTTCCAACTGAGGAAAATTTGTCCCCCAATCAGCTGTGGAACCAAGTGACGACCAATCAGGACAGATATTTCCAACAGGGCACCTCATCAAATCAACCAATTAAACCAACAGTTTCCAAAGCCCTTTGGGAACCTGCGTGTTCAGCACCAATTCGGCAAAGGTACAGGAAAAGCCATGAGTTCACAGAAAAGGATCGACAAATTGTTGCGTGTTTCATATTATTTATATTAAATTACTGGAGGGTAAGAGGCACAAATTAGCATTCAGGCGTCTGGCTGAACAACTCTGGATATACAGCCAGTGAAAGAATGATTGGTGATCAGCCGTCCAATCTACGATTCACATGCCACTTTTGGCGAAGACATACCAGTAGCACTTTACTAAATGTTTGAAGACTCCTTCATCAACCATCCACCTGTTTGTCCTTACCATTGCCACTATTGGCATTTCGTTATTGATCAAAGCTCATAACCTCATCGTTCAACGTTTTGGGCAGCATGCTTATTTCATCTGATTTCTATTCAATCCTATTGGATACCCTCTGGTAAACTAACATAACTATGGAAAATCACCATCTTTAATAGGTAAATCAACTATAGATGGCCATTTTCAATAGCTTTTTGTATGTTTACCACAGTGTAGGTTGGTTCTTTCTTCTTGGATTGGTTCAAATCTTGTAATGCGGTAAACCCAATCATCAACTCCGAGTGGGGATGGTTTATGGCGGTTTACCACATTATAACATATTGAATCTGGGAATATGATACTCATCCCATTCATATATATATATATATTGATAGTACTACTAATGATCTATATCCCATTCATAGTAATAATATTGTCAATAGTATTGGGTTTACCAGATTATTCTTGTCCATTGGTGGTTAGAGTAGATATTAATTATAATATATATATATATATATATCCATCATTTTGTACCCCATTATATCTCCGTTATATCCCTACTTCATATTCCATATCCCCAGTCAAATCACAACTAATATATTTAATATATATATATATACATATATAAATATATTATATGTGTGTATATATATATATACATACATATAAATATATATATATGTATTTATATATATATATATATATCCAAATGATATCCCCGTTGTATTGCTGGCTCTTCCCCATGGGATTTTCCCGTTCCGTTCCGAGCGACGGCCGAGCGCACGGGCGACTTCGCGGTGGCGCTGGTGATGGGCATATAATCCGACAAGTCCAGGAGAAAGACCTGGAGGAAAACAAAAAGGCCGAGAACAAAAAAAAAAATATTGTATATAATATATATATATACCCTCTGGTAATTTAACATAGCTATTGAAAATGGTCATTTATAGTTGATTTTCCCATTAAAAATTGTGATTTCCATAGCTATGTTAATTTACCAGAGGGTAAACCTATTGGAAAACCTATTGGGATAAGTATTATTGACAGTATTAATGATTATTATCAATTACAGTATATAATCATCTGGTTGGTGGTGCAATAACCATCTTGAAAAATATGAGTTAGTCAGTTGGGAAGGATTATTCCCATGTATGATGGAAAATAAAAAAAACAGTTTGGAACCACCAACCAAATATGTACTAGTATATGGAATATAAATATAATATACTATAATTTATCATGATATATTCTGGTTCGTGGTAAACCTACCCCTCTGAAAAATATGAAAGTCAAATGGGATTATTGTTCCCAATATATGGAAAAATAAAAAATGTTCCAAACCACCAACCAGAATATGTAATTTACATATAATATACTAATTTATCATGACAAAATGGTGAAACAAATACGGAAGAAGTGTGATTTATAGTTTATCCATGAACAAACTGGGATTCACCATGATTTATATCTGCAAAGAATGATGTTTCCAATGGGGAAGTAAGCGAAGCATGAATCATATTCATAATCAAGATGGATGAAGCATGATGAACCAAGCAATTTTCATGGGGATTGAAGTGATTTTCTGTACACTCGTACATCAAAACTAACAATACCTGGGATCCTTTTTGCGTTTTTCTGGGCTCAGCGGGGCCCCCAGCCCCAGCCCCCCCTGGCAGAGCCGCCACGCCTCCCCGGTGTCCGAGACGGTGCACACCACATCGCTGCGCGGGCCGAAGGCAATGTCGGTGACCTTGGATGACAACATTTCAATAAAGATATTGGGTATAACAGTGATTTAATGATATTATATGTCATTAGATATGGAGTATTTACCCAGATATAATGGAATATATGAGTATTTAAGGCTCCTATAATGGAGATTAATGGTATATATCAATGGATATTTGGGATATTATACCCATTATCTTATTGAATATATGGGATATTGGGTATATTCCAACCATATTTGGGATATACAATGGTGTACAACCATATTTGGGATATACAACATATTTGGGATATATTGGGTATATACAACCATATTTATGGGATATGTCATGAACATATTGGAATATACGAGTACCATATTTGAAATAGCTTTAATCGTCACTAATGGCCATATTTGGGATATTATACCCATTATCTTATTGAATATATGGGATATTGGGTATTATTTGGGATATTATGGGATATACCATATTTGAAATATCTTTAATGTTCATATTACTGACCATATTTGGGATATTATACCCATTATCAAAGTACACCCATATTGTCCCATTGACCAGCAGAATTCAATGGACCTCAAAATGGGTTATAAGCAGAGGTCCATTCAATTGGGACTCATTTGGATTATAAATGACTATACTAAGTTGGATTAATGATGATGGTAGAATCAGAATTCAATGGACCTCAAAAAGCTTAGATAAACCCTACCGATGAGTTGATTTTGCGAAAACAACATGTTATAATTTAGTATCTAGGATTACAGCAATCCTACAAGGTGCCAGCCAGGTGTATTGGTGGGCAAACCCCAATGAGTATAGTTATCTGTAGTCTGTAGATATATCTGCCATAAACGCTAATTATATTAGTCATAAACCAATTTAGCTATCATTTGGGGGCACCACTGTGTCAATACTTTACCCATGTTGAAAACTGGTGGTTTCTGATGGTTTCTGGTGCTTTGCAATCCAAGGGTTCCCCTATTTTGAGGGGACTATCTCTTTGGGGATCCACGAAAAACCATTTGCTGACAGTCTTAGATATTCCGCAAATAGGATCAAATATGTAATTATATGTGTTACATATTGTTACATGAAATATCTATACATCATCACATCCCTTTCCTAGTATATATCCATAAGAATATATTCCTATTTAATGCAGCAAACCAAACATCAAGCCGCCACCTGCCACGACCGACGACCGCGACCACCGCGCCTCGCCCGTGTGCGAGGCGCTCTGCAAGGTACCAGTGAGATCGGAGGAGAGCAAGCGCCACATCTTTCCATTCCTGGATTTCATGGGAGTTACCATAGGAAAAACCATAGGAAACCATAGGAAAATGGTGATTTTACCAGCCAAACATGGAGATTAGCATAGAATTACTAATGTGAGTAAAACAAATAATAAACCACCAATTTGGGATTTGTTTATACCACCTATAAAAATTGTCATTTGGGGGATGGTTTGTTTTACCCACATTACACCTTTTGCGCCAGGGTGGTTTTCAATTTAGTACCGAATTAGTTTCTCATAGTTTCTCTTTGGAGGAAATGAAGTGAGCAGCAACCAAGAGTGCGTTGCTAGGGCCATCCCCAAGAAAGTGAAACACAACTCTCTCCAATCCCATAGGATCCATGTATGGAATATTTACCTACATTGACCCCTAAAGTAATTTAAAATAATCCCAATGTAGGTAAATATTCCATACATGGATCCTTAGGGAATGGACCCCCAGCCAATGCAACAACCCAAATGTTCACATCTCTTTGTTTGACTTTAGGATCTTTGCGCCGGAGCGGAGCCATCGGTCGCTGGTGTTTCACTCTGGGACATTCAAGCAACCCAACAAATGGATACAAACAGTGCCACAAAAATATGGCACAACATTCAAGTGTCCAATCTTGACCCTGAAACGAAATCTGCCCGTTAGCAAAGGACAATCAAGAAATATAATCTGTAGCAATGGACCATCATCTAGAGCTACATATATATATATATATAATTATATGTATATAAATATATATCTGGGTAAATTATAATAGTTCACTAACCTGAATTAAGGCCATTTGGGGATGATTCCCCTTACTAACTATGATTCCCAGTGAGGGAGAACAGTGAGGTCGTTATAATTTACCCATATATATATAAATATATATGATATATATATATATTTATATATACATGGCTTTGTCTCAAATTGGGTCCCCAACATCCAATTTGGGTCAAAAAAAGGGAGGTCCCCAAAATCCGGCACCTTGAGCCTGCGATCAGCTCCGCGCCATCCGCGGAAGGGGTCAAGGCCTGGTGCGCTGCCATTTTTTCGATGTGGATGTCATGGTGAAAAGCATCAATTGAAGCATGGAAATAGGCTGGTTGGTGGTTGACCTACCCCTCTGAAAAATATGAGTTCGTCAGTTAGGATGATTGTTCCCAATCTATGGACAAATAATCCATGTAGGATCCATGTATGGAATATTTACCAACCAGTTGGGATGATTTGGAAAATTACTTTAGGGGTCAATGTAGGTAAATATTCCAGCACCATGGATCCTTAGGGAATTGAAGCATGAAACATATTGCCAATCTTAGATACCCTGCAAAAAATGACAAATTCTTTGCTGGTGAGTAAGTAGATATTCCCATGAATACCAAAAGACTAAAGTTTGTGACTAAAGGATTAAAGTATCCATGTAAGATTGACCTAGAACAGGGATTTCAACAATGAATCATCATGAATCATCATGAATACATATGAATACTTCGGATTTAATTGCTGAACATTCTAGGGATTTGTCAAGGGTGGTCTTGGTTCGATTTTGAACCAAGTCTGGGATAGTGGTTGGTGGTGACAACCAGTGGGGGAGGATGACTGTTTCACCAATGGAATGCGCACATAAAGATGGGATAAAGATGTGGTATTTCGGTATTTCCTAACGAACATGATAGTATGAACATGTAGTAAGTTCTTCTTGGTGAAACACCAACATGGCCATTTTACCAACAGTAATGTCGATCCAGGTCGGCATCGAACGTCCTATCCATCGGCCATCGGATGCGACTGGGAAAGTTGATCTTCAAAGTGAACAACAGTGGGTCAACAGGTTCATTTCCACTCATTTCGATCCATGCAGTACTTGAATCGGTTTGGTTTTTCCAGAACATCTCTGGTTTCCTGTATGATCGTATGATTGGGTTCATTGCATTTGGATCCGTCTGAAAATGGGGGGGGCAATTTCATATGACAGCTGCTGGTTATCACGCCGCCCGCCACTACAACGGCCCTGCGATGGCAAAAATCAGGAAGCACTAATTTCATTGGAGAAAATGGGAATTAACTAACAATTCGCGGGGTTTTCAGGTTTTCCCATGATTTTCAGGTTGTTGGTCGTATCCCGGTAAATTAACATAAATTAACATCCCCATGTTTCCATGTGGGCTGGTGGCTGGTGACATGTCACAATAAACCAAACAATTTTCACGATTCCTGACTTAAATCCAATTTGTTTGGACAGTAACAGGCCCATCCTTCACCAGCTGTTATTTGTAGAATCCCCAGTTATCTCCGTTTTCCATGAGTAAACTCCAAATGTTGATAGTTAAAATCATCATGTAACACAATTGTTCATGTCTAAACTCCAAATTTCGATAGTTAAAATCAATATCTATCATTATTTATCACCATTTTTCATGGGTAAACTCCAAATTTTCATGGTTCAATGAGTTCAATGAGTTCAATGATTCAAATCACATGGTTTCACCATGGTTTGGTGTGTAAATCCACCATGTTTGGAGGCTTTATATACCAAAAATATGGATAAGTGGGCACCCGCACCACGACACCGGATTCCAACACGTTTTCTGCCAGAACCTGGAGATCACGTTGAGAATGGAATGGTAATTCTATCATTAATGGTAATTATTCATGGTAATACTATATGTTATAATAATGGTTTAATAACAATGGCCTTTTTTTTAGGTGAATATGAAATACTGGTTGGTGGTTTGAACCCCTCTGAAAAATATGCTCGTCAGTTGGATTAATTCTTCCCAATATATGGAAAACATACACTCCCGGGAACAAACGTGTCTCAGGCTACCGTTTCAGGTATCAACAAACATGTCCACTTTATATCGGCGTTTTCCTGGGGAATGCATTGCAACTTTTTTTTTACACATTGACCCAAAAACAGCTAACATGTCTCAATTCCTGCAATTGGGGCCCTTGGATTTCGACCTTGATCTGGGATATGTTCGCTATTTTGGGGGGATAGATTCAGCCAATAACCACTCACATATCTCAAAACCACATCCTCTGAACAACACGGACACGTTAGGTGGGCGCTTTCCGTGGCTAGTCATCCAACCCTTACTAAATGCAACTAGTTTTTGGAATGCACCCCCACCCCAATCTTCTTGCCCACTCACGAGCATCATCTATGATGCGCTCTTCCGGAAGGAGTTGGGGCCCCTTTTTTCTCCACCGTTTTGTTATCAATGCGGTCTTTGATTTGAGCCCTATTGGGGTCTGGAAATAAGGATGCTGGGGCGTCCGGGGCGGTAGTCTTCTGGCAGTTTCCCGGGAACCTGCAGAGGGGGGGACAACTTTTCCACTACCGTGTCCATTCTGGGTTTTCAACTAACATGTCTCAAGTATAGGGCATTTATCATAGCCTATGCTCACAGCAGCTAACGTATCCAAAAACAAACACCAAAAAAAGTGGATACGTGTCTCGGGCTACCGTTTCAGGTATCAACTAACATGTCCACTCGGTACCGGCGTTTTCCTGGATTTCCTGGGGAATGCATTGCAACTTTTTTGGGGACCATTGACCCAAAAACAGCTAACAGCTAACATGTCTCAGTTCCTGCAATTGGGGCCCTTGGATTTCGACCCTGATCTGGGATATGTTCGCTATTTTGGGGGGATAGATTCAGCCAGTAACCACTCACATATCTCAAAACCACATCCTCTGAACAACACGGACACGTTAGGTGGGCGCTTTCCATGGCCAGTCATCCAACCCTTACTAAATGCAACTGGTTTTTGGAATGCACCCCCAATCTTCCTGTCACGAGCATCATCTATGATGCGCTCTTCCGGAAGGAGTTGGGGCCCCTTTTTTCTCCACCGTTTTGTTATCAATGCGGTCTTTGATTTGAGCCCTATTGGGGTCTGGAAATAAGGATGCTGGGGCGTCCGGGGCGGTAGTCTTCTGGCAATTTCCCGGGAACCCCCAGAGGGGGGGGACAACTTTTCCACTAACGTGTCTGGTGTCCATTCTGGATTTTCAGCTAACATGTCTCAAGTATAGGGCACTTATCATAGCCTATGCTCACAGCAGCTAAAGTATCCAAAGAAAAATCCACAAAAAAAGTGGATACGTATCTCGGGCTACCGTTTCAGGTATCAACTAACATGTCCACTCGGTACCGGCGTTTTCCTGGATTTCCTGGGGGATGCATTGCAACTTTTTTTTTACACATTGACCCAAAAACAGCTAACAGCTAACATGTCTCAGTTCCTGCAATTGGGGCCCTTGGATTTCGACCCTGATCTGGGATATGTTCGCTATTTTGGGGGGATAGATTCAGCCAATAACCACTCACATATCTCAAAACCACATCCTCTGAACAACACGGACACGTTAGGTGGGCGCTTTCCGTGGCCAGTCAGTCATCCAACCCTTACTAAATGCAACTGGTTTTTGGAATGCCCCCCCAATCTTCCTGTCCACCCACGAGCATCATCTATGATGCGCTCTTCCGGAAGGAGTTGGGGCCCCTTTTTTCTCCACCGTTTTGTTATCAATGCGGTCTTTGATTTGAGCCCTATTGGGGTCTGGAAATAAGGATGCTGGGGCGTCCGGGGCGGTAGTCTTCTGGCAATTTCCCGGGAACCCCCAGAGGGGGGACAACTTTTCCACTAACATGTCCATTCTGGATTTTCAACTAACATGTCTCAAGTATAGGGCACTTATCATAGCCTATGTTCACAGCAGCTAACGTATCCAAAAAAAACTTGTTTCCACAAAAAAAGTGGATACGTTTGTTCCCTAGAGAGTAAACAATGTTTCAATAATAATCTAATTATCATTATACTATTATCGTGATGGTTATAGTGATGGTTATTCTTACTATATTATCATTATTAAGAAACCATTATTATTAACCACTATTATTAAACCATTATTAAACCATTGAATGGTAACATGTAATATTGGTTTTATAATAATGATAATAGCAAGAATAACAATAATAATACTAATAGGTAATACTTATTGTTATTGTTATTGTGGTTCTGACTACTATATAATATATATATATATATACGTATATATGTATATAATAATAAATAAAATAAAATAAATAATAATAATGATCATCATCATCACTATCATCATCATCATCACCACCACCACCATCATCATCATCATCATATTTGTGTTATAATATGTATACATATATTAAACATAATGATAGAATAGTATGGCATAATAATGGCAACATTGTATACTTGTAACCAATTTCTATCAAATTCTAGCTGTACGATTGCTATCTCACCAGCCAAGCATTGGGTTATCGATATATGTGGATGATCCTACAGAGCCGACAGCGACTGAGGGGCCTCCTTTATTCCAAGCCAGGCTGGAGTAGCTTATATCATAGACAACTCCCAAAGAGATCCAAAGAGATAGAAACTTCAATTGACTAATTCATAGTGGTAAATTACTTGTCTATCTTTTTGGCGGTTGCTATGTCCATTATTTATAGATTATGTTCCCGCTTCTCGTGGGGATATCGCATGTCCCATTGGGCATCTTTGACCACCAAAGGGTCACCCAAACAGTATGGAACGTACTCTGTAGGACCAACACCTTATCTTTCTTACTCTCTGGATCCCTCTGGTACTCAAACATGGCTAGCTGGAACATCCCCTATAAATTGATGTTTTCATGGGGAAATCGCCTACACATGGGGCAAGATGTTCGCGATATTTGATTCCCCGAGGCTCCAACATCCCACCATCGGACTTTTTCGTCCGCTTTAAGCCACACTCTTCCTCCAAATTTCTGCCATGGCTCAAAAAAATGGCCAGCGACTTTGGCGAAATACCGAAAAACATATAACTTTCTATGTAAACCCCAAAATCATTGCACCAACTTTGGCAAAATACCACACATATTACCCTCTGGCCAATTTTTAATGGAAACTAATCTTCCAACCCCTATCTGCCAGGGTCTATGTTAATTTACTGGAGGGTAGTATTTACTGGTTGGTGGTTTTAACCATCTTGAAAAATATGAGTCAATGGGAAGGATGACATCCCATATATGAAATGGAAAATAAAAACCATGTTTGAAACCACCAACCAGAACCATATTAAGTCCCTATTAAGATATATTAAGTCCCATTAACCCATATTAAGTCCCTATTGTTAATTTACTGGAAGGTATTATTTATATCTACCCTCTAGTAATTTAACCTAGCTATTGAAAATGGCCATTGAAATAGTGAGTTTTCCCATTAATAGCATGGTGATTTTCCATAGTTATGTAAAAGCTTACCAGAGGTTAGACCCCTTCTTATTGATTATGTAACAGTTTACCAGAGGATTATCTCTTATTAATCCTTCCAAGGATTTCCTCCATTTTCCTATGGTTTTCCAAGGATTTTCCCATTTTCCTATGGTTTTCCAAGGATTTCCCAGGCCAAATCGATCCAAACTTACCGATGGGCCCCCGCCGATGGGCCCCTGGGACTCCCGAGCGTCCCATTGGATGTCGAAGCCTCGAAGGGCCTTGATTCGCCCGTCTCCGCCAGCCTAGGCTGCGGCAAGCGGCAGTTTTTTTCACAAGCGAAGGTTAGCAGTTAGTTTTTTCACACTTCCAAGAGGAAAGGTGAAAAAACTAGTCATATCACTTAGAAGCGGATATATATATATATATATAACTCTATATATATATATATAGAGATATATATATATATATAACTCTATATATATATATATAGAGTTATATATATATACACATAAAACTTATAACTGGGCGGGGGCCCACGTAAAGTGGTGTTTACATGTACCATTTCCGCTTGGTGGCGGTCACTTTAGGATCATCTGCCCAGAAATAGTTGGCTTTTAGACAGACGCTAGCAGAAAGAAGATGTTTAATCATTAATATCCCATAGGATCCATGTAGGTGGGAATTTCCAGCAAACCATGTTTAAGATTACTGGGTGGATTATAGAAGAACAAACAAATGACCTCCTTGGGTCGAAAGCATTTCCCATGACGGATCCATGGTGCTGGTATATATTCTAACATGAATGGGGTATATTGATGGGATCCATGTTACCATATATAGCATACATGGATCCTATGGGTATTAGCCTGTGTTTGTACATGAGGGATACCACCATAAAAATGATTAAATGGCAGTGTTCATAATTTCATCATCGATCAGAGAATTGACAAATAATGGGGTCACGTGGTCCATATATTTCATTGGTAATGGATAGATAACCATATGTATTATACTGTATACTGTATTTGTTTAAAAAAAATGTAGTTTACCCAAGTTTAATTAAAATGGGGATGAAATCACCGCTTGGGATGCACATCAATGCACATCAACCCAATAGTTGGCTCACTGAACTCATACTGAGCTTTGCGCCACGAATAACATCTCGCCATGCCTTGGTTGTGGCGCCCCCCAGTCCGACATTCTTCGATGTTTCGGGAATATAAACACATCTTTCAAAAAGTCGAAAGATAGGATTCTATGGTTTTAGATATGCTTTTAAAAGTTCTAAGTATGTTTAAGATGTATATATACCCCGCGAACAGGAACGTCTTACCACAAAACGCGGAGTCTGGTGCAGGGCCGGACGAATCCATGCCTCACACTGCTCAATTCTTGATGGTTCTGTTATTTAAGGTACCCTCTGGTGAACTAACATAACTATGGAAAATCACCATGTTTAATCGGAAAATCCACTATAAATGGCCATTTTCAATAGCTATGTTAAATTACCAGAGGGTAGCAAACTGGAAAATCACCCGTTTTGACAGCTACAGTAGATCTATGTAAATCTACAACATAAAAATGAGCCACAGCTTCCATAGCTTGCCTAAATACCCTTTGGTAAACTCACACCACAATGTTTTTTTGTCAATGTGTAAATCATCTATGACTCTATACTGTTTGGTGGTATACCTACCCCTCTGAAAAATCATGGAGTTCGTCAGTTGGGATGATGAAATTCCCAACTGAATGGAAAGTCAGGTCATCCAGTCATGTTCCAGTCACCACCATTCATCCCCATTAAGCCACCATTAATCCCCAGCCAGCTATGGGTACATCTCCCAAGTGTTTGATGCGATCGATGCGATCAACTTTTCGGGCTTGGTTGATAGGTGTTGCCAAACTTTTCCCAATGTACTAATCTGTACACATTCTAATAAAACCGTGTATATATATATACATATATGTACGTATATCAATATTATACATTGCACATCATTGTAAATCATTGTGTATTATTCTATGTAATTCATTGCATATCATTTATACGTACATATATATAAATTATATGTTATAAGTCAGTGTCATTCATGAAATAACATGTAATATGGTTGGGAACTCTTACTAGCTCGTTGGCTCCCTATCTAAGGGAATATAGATACTCATTTCTTCTGACAGCTCCCTAACGGATCGTTACGAGTAACTATTCTTCATTGGTCAAATCCCAATGTTTAGTGCTTGGTGGCTCATCCCACAAATCGTAAGTGGGTTAGTTCACCCCAATTATAAGTGGATTAACCCTACTTATCCCATGTAAATCACTGGGGTTATAGCCCACTTACTAAGTGGGATGAGCCACCAAGTGGTGAAGTGCCCATTTTCCTGTGTCAAAGTTCAATCCACAATTGTGTTTTCCCCTTTATTGATACTTGAATGCGCATCCAAGGCATCACATGTGGTTCATGACCTATGATGACCAACCGGTATCTATATGTAACATGAAAATACAACCGGTATTACTAAATGGGGCTCAAAACCTATACTACCATATTTTTTGGGGATATCCATGGCCAGCGATTTTTTTTTCAAACAAGGCTATCATCCCCCGCGGTTCTAACATAGCTATGGACAATGGGTGATGTATAGTTGGTTTGCCGAACTGATGGTGATGTTCCAGTTCGCGAACTGTAAAGGTTTACCAGAGGGTAAATGATATAGTTCGTCGGGGGTTTCCATCGCGAGATCCCCAAGCTCGATGCTGGAACATGGAACACAAATAGATGGATCCGGGGTACCCCGATGACTTCAAAAAAAACATCCATAAGTATATAATCCCATATATATTTAGAAAACCTCCATGCAAAACCTCCATTACTATATACTATAATCAATTAATATGATCCCTAACAGTGTCACATGGAGGTTCCCATTAATATCATCCCATATATAATCCCTAACATGTAGATAATTCAATCCCTAACAGTTAAATAAAATTGATATAAGCCCTAACAGTTACTATATGATCTATGGAACGAACAGTTATATAGAATCCCTAACAGTTAAAGTAGTTTTAAGCTACTCACAGTGAAATAATTCCTAACAATCATAATATATATTTCAACAAAATAAATATACAAATCCAAATTTATAAGAAGTTTTAAAAAAGTACTATACCCATAGGATCCATGTATGCTATATATGGTGTGCCATGGATCCCATCAATATACCCCAGTCATGTTAGCATTTTTCTACCAGCACCATGGATCCTATGGGATAATGCATATATATATATATATCCCAGAGGATCCATGTACGGAATATTTACCTACATTGACCCCTAAAGTAATTTAAAATAATCCCAATGTAGGTAAATATACCATACATGGATCCTATGGGTATATATGCATATACATTTTAAACGGTACTTGGTGGCTCATCCCACTTAGTAAGTGGCTTATAACCCCAATTATAAATGGATTAACCCTACTTATCCCATGTAAATCACTGGGGTTATAAGCCACTTACTAAGTGGGATGAGCCACCAAGTATACTATGATACTATTGTCAAATAATATCGTTGTAGTAACGAGTGTTGCGATGGGATGACGAACCGTAAAAGGGTCCAAGGAACTGAGCCATGCTGGTCACACCTTGGCGTGGGGATAGAAGAAATGGGATGATAACTGAATAGTTAGTATATAAAACATAATATGTACAGATATATATGTATGTATGTATATATTATATATATATTATATACGTGTATATATATATATTTATTTAAATTTATGTTATATATATATATATATTAATGTATGTATAGATATCAATGTATGTATAGATATGAGGATTCTGAATAAGAATAGTGAACTGATCTTAAATGATAATCAAAATCCTTACTGGGATATCCAAGTATGGATAGGTTCACTTGACTTTGTACGTGCCAAACGTAGGAAATGGGGAATGGGATGATTGCTAATAGTTGTTGTAGGTCATTCATTACTAAGAACCAGTAAGATGAGGATAGATGTTCCAAAATGATGTTCCAAGTTTGGAGTTGAATTTCATGTTTCGGCTGTTTAGGGGGTGCTATTTGATAATGTTCATCGTAAATTACCCATGTATGATGAATTTCCCCAGTTTTGAACCTAACACTTTGCCTGTCAAGCAAACCAGACAAAGCCGGGAACGTGGAGGAGGAGGACGACGAGGATAAGAATAAGGATGACAATGGTTAATATTATCATGAAATATTATATAATTGTTGTTAATCAACATTGTCAGTATTACATAGTATTACTATTGATACTGATGATGAACATAATGATCATGATGATGATGATAATGATGATGATGATGATGATCATGATGATGATGATGATGATGATCATCATCATCATCATCATCATCATCATATGATTCGACGAGTCGAAGATTATAACTTTAATGATGATGTGACAGAACAGAATAATAAACAAAACACACAAAAAACCTAAGGATGATAACGCGGAAAAAACAAATATAACGGGGGTGATGGTATCCACTTGGAAGAATAGACGTCCTTTACCTATTTCATACTCGTAGCAGTGCCTGATGTTGGACACTTTGGTCAAAATTGGTGGTCCCCTGGGTAGTTTTGACCCCCCACCATCTTTAAGTTCGGTAAATCAAGGAACTAAATTTGCCATGGCTTCAATAGCAAAACCTAACAAATTACTCTAGAGGGATCCAGAGGGTACCCTCTGGTAAACTAACATAACTATGGAAAATCGGCATTTGTAATAGGTAAATCCACTATAAATGGCCATTTTCCATCGCTATGTTAGTCATTACCAGAGGGCAATGTCTTTTTGATGTCTGTAATTCCTTCCACTTGAAGGAACATCGAGACAATGATCCGAAAGTCGATGAACACATTCACACGGATCTAGACGTTCCAAAGATATCAAAAGCTGTTTCGTTTGAGGGGAACTTCAATAGTTTACAGTAACTCAGTAGGTGTTCCGAGGTGGAAAATATCAGACCCACAGGACAGCCAAAGTCTGGTAATCTTGAGGATTGACCATCTAATCTTAACACCCATGTTGATACATGTTGAAACTATCCATGCTTGGTGGTTCATCCCAGAAATCGTAAGTGGGTGAGGTGCACCGGTTCACCCTGGGTATTCCCGTTGTCCAGCGAACTAACTGTGGTTAGTATGATGACAATCCCCAATACAGATTAATATAGTAACACCTATGTACAACTCTACTTTTAGAGGGGGGGTGGTAATACATTAAAACTATTTCAAACTACTAAGTAGGGCTAAGAAGGGTTAAATGATAGGGCTTCGCGCTTCATCCCAGAGCAGCAAAAGGGGATTTTCAGGGGGCGAACATAAGTTATCATAAGTTTCAATCCAGCATGTCCTTTTCCCTGGCCTCCCGCCACAGAGACTATCCTTGCTGAATGTCCCTAGCATGGTGTCTCCCACGAGGACCATAATTGAATGCTAGATGACATTAAATGACCACAATTAGTTATGGACTAGCTTTGCCTTGACTAAATCCAGTGGATTTAAACGAGGCAGAGGGAAATATGACGAGGCAACCTGTGTTGACTTGCTGATAAGAGACCTGCCTTGCTTAAATCCACTGGATTTAAACGAGGCGAACTTTTCGCCTTCAATTTCAGACATTGAGGAATTTCATTGTTGCTTCGTCTGTGGGCCATTTTTTAAATTCCAATTGTGCCCAAATCTGCGTTTTTCGAAACCTACGTTGGAATTAGAGGCTTCATTAGAGTTCTTTCCCTCCACCATGTGTATTCAACCACAGTGAGTTCACAAAAAAGATCATGTCCACACAGAAAGAAACCGTACATGTCCTCAGATATCCTAAATTGATGTATTATCAAATGGGGGTACACCCCCCCACCAATACAAAAGTTAGGGCATAGGGATATATCTGGTTGGTGGTTTCAACCCCTCTGAACAATATTAAATTAGTCAGTTGGGATTATTAGTCCCAATATATGGAAAAATAAAACATGTTCCAAACCACCAATCTGATATGTCTGTATATGTAACTCCCTGTCATCAACCCCCGGTGTTGATCCATACCATACCCAAATAATAAATCGTTTTGACTTTCCTTCATAAACTCGTGCCGAGACGCCATTGTTGCACACGGGCAATGCTGTGCGGAACACCTGCCGAGAAATGGCATCGATAGGGGATTCAATGCACCCAGTTTTTTTTTACCGCCATCGCAGTGGCGGAAAATGGCCAACCAGTTTCCAGGCCAAGTGATAGGCATTACGTTCCCAGATTCTTGGCATTAAAAAAAAACGGGTGTTTTGATGTACCCTCTGGTAATTTAACATAACTATGGAAAATCACCATGCTATTAATGGGAAAACTCACTATTTCAATGGCCATTTTCAATAGCTATTTTGACATAACCAGAGGGTACTATCTTGGTCAACCTTCAGTCAACACAGCTATGGAAGCTATGCACCACTTACTTCGATGATTTGCCAATTTTTTTCGTGGGTTTTTCCCATAGAAAACTGTTTACCAAAGACTAATCATGTTCACATGTGTTCATGGGTCAAAACTTATGATATAACTATATCCTGAAGGGAATTTGGATATCCATTAACATCCATTCACCAACTATTCACCAACTATTTTAGGCTACATCTTCTTACTCTATTTGATGGAACATCCATAGATCCCAGGACCAACCGTGCCTTGGTCTTGATGTTGAAGACACAGAGATCTCCCGCAGAGGTGCCTTGGCAGATTTTTGAGATGGGCAAATTCAGATGGTGTGTATACTGTGTATATCTATCTATCTATCTATCTATCTACCAGGTATATAGTAGCTATATCTATAGCAATATCTATAACAATATCTTGAGATTATGATAAGGGTTGGAAATAATATGATAAGGGTAACATGGCCAACCTTAGATAATCCCATTAAACTACCCATCATTGACCTAGATAATAGGATAATCATCATAGTTGTGATAGCATAGGGTTGATAGTAGGATGATCACTATAGGTATATGATTGGGGGTGGGTCTCAACCTATGAACTTCCCATACTGGGAGAATCTTGGCATCCAGCTATACCAGCTATCTTAGGGTACCTAGGGTACCAGGGTTTTGACTCTTAGACATATGATACCATATGAAGGGTTGTACATATGCCAAAGTTCATCAAAGAACATCAATATTCCATCTATCAAGCTATTCTAGATACCATTGCTCTGAGATACTCAGCATATCTCGCCGGAGATAACTTGGACTTGAGGTTGCAGCGCCACTGCTAGTAGAGTAATTATAGGGTATAGAGTAGGTGCCACAAGAAGCTCATGACCATCTCATTGATGATTCTAAATCCTAATCCGGAAAAATCAGCTGCTTCTTATGCAGAGGGTCCCCCAAAAAATCAACACATATTTCCCAAGGATTATGTGAATCATAAACCATCCCCCAAATCACCATTTTTATGGGTGGTATAAACCATCAAAAATGGGGTGCTTGATGGCATTGTTTTACCCACATTTGTTGATTTTCCGTTGGGAACGTTAAAAAAAAAACCTTGGACACCCCCCTGAATCAAAACATGTTTGAAACCATCAACCGTTGGATCACCGGGGTCGATATATCCTATATTCCCACTATATCGTCGACCTTAGATGAAGAAATCCCCAGTGCATATATCCAGTATCACTGTAGATGGTTAAAACCTATCTTCAGATGAACTTCTGAGGATACATCTGAATCTGGATACAATTGGTACAATTGTTTTTTGACCATCATAATTCATAACATCTCAAAACTGATATAATGTATCCTCAGTTTTTCCCAGGAAAAATCATCACACCATGGCACCTGTGATGAGGAAGTCTCCGTTGATCATGCCGCAGATGTGTTTCCGTTGCAACCCGGAGGGTGGGAACCTGTTTCGGGTGGTGGATCCCGATCTATGCAGACTGTTGTGATAAACTCCAACCCATAGATACTCTCTGTACCCTCTGGTAAACTAACATAGCTATGGAAAATCACCATTTTTGATGGGTAAATCCACTATAACTATAAATGGCCATTTTCAATAGCTATGTTAAATTACCAGAGGGTAAATCGTTGGTCTTACAACTATGAAATAAATGATTCAAAAGGGCTTCCAGAAAAAATAGAAGAACTGTTTCCAGGATGTTGTAGTCATATGTTCTCCATTACTGGAAGGCATCTCTGGTTGATGGATATCCCTAACTATGGGTTTGTTCATAATTCCAAATAGATTCACCCACCAACTGGGCGGCATGCATATATATATATGTGATATGGGGTTGCGTCAAAATTCGGGTATGGATCGGCCCGCGGTGATCCAGACGTATGGAAAGGTCTGGATCACCTGCGTTTTGGTATGGATCGGGGGTATGGATCGGCCTGTGGGTTCAGGGTATGGATCGGGGCTTTACATTTTGACTCGCAGCTATATGTGTGTGTATGTATAATATGTATATATATATATATACACATATGCATTGTCAAATGGCATTCACTGAAATCTGGCTAAATCATACTTCAAAGAACCGTGAAGCCAAGATGAGGTGCCAAAAGGCTGGGAACTTATGGGTATATGATGGGATTATCACGTTTTTTTTTTGCGGGAAAAAATGGTGTGATGTAATTACATATACCAGATTATACCAGTCTAACTTGTCTGAAACCGGTTAATTAATACTTGTTAATCCCCCCCACAACAAACACATTGTGAGATATTCTGACTATTACCCTCTGGTGAACTAACATAGCAATTGAAAATTGCCATTTATATTGGAATTTCACATCAAAAAATGGTGATTTTCCATAGCACAATGTTAGTTCACCAGAGGGTAAACAGTCGATTTAGGGGTAGCACATGCTCGGTCCCAAAGCCATGTCAAGGGAAATTCTCGGTCCCACGAGTTGCATCAGTGGTGTTGGCTATGTTCGTTCGCAGCCCCAAAATAGATTGAAAAAAAACGGGACAGCTGGGAAATTTCAGTGGTAAATATACCCTCTGGTAAACTAACATAGCTATGGAGAATCACCATTTTTGATGGGTAAATCCACTATAACTATAAATGGCCATTTTCAATAGCTATGTTAAATTACCAGAGGGTACTCTATACAATTCACATCCCAAAAAAAAACACGTTTCAGTTTACTGGTTGGTGGTTGAGCCCTACCCCTCTGAAAAATCATGGAGTGAGTAACAGTTGGGATGATGACATTCCTAACTGAATGGAAAGTCATAAAATTCATGTTAACCACCAACCAGCTAGTTTCATCAATTGTAATTCACCATTTTCAATAGGTAAATCAACAAACTAAATGGGGTATTTTCAATAGCAAAACATCAAACAAAACATCTAGACATTTCTGCATCAACCAGTTCCAGATGACAGGGATGGACGGTCTCCCAATGGGAAGTTTACCACATGACCACGGGCTTTTATTTTTTGGTGGTAAATCATGGTTAAATAATATGGATTCTTGCCACAAATCACAGGGTGTCTCAATGATCGCTGGGTTTTCTCAATGATCATCTTTGCCGAATCACCTTTATGGTGAATTCATGGTTAAATCATGTGATTGACGTGTACGAAATTATTTGAATCCAAATTTATTGCTCTAGCTCATGTGCTTGGGAAACGCAATTCGTGGCTCTTTGTTTTCCCATTTAATCGGGATTATGGATACCCATAGCTCTTGCTGCCCTCCAAACCACTTGATAACTAGGTGAGCCATTAGACATCCCAAATCACATCTCTAGTTGGGCCAACTAACCCAGTCTCCCTTTTCAACCAATCAACCAGGCTATAACTTCAAAAAACCTCAGGTAGATATCAAAAAATCTGTATATTATCTAGTGTGTGGTTGGGAAACTCTTGGTAGCTCCAAATCGCTCCCCATTTAATAGATTTAATAGGGAATATGAATACCCATAGCTCCAAATCGCTCCCTCCATTCACCACTGGATAGTTATTGGCACCCAAGGAGATCCAACCAACCCCGAGGTTTCAGCTCAGCAACTGCATTGCATCCGAATCCAAGGTGTAACACATGGACCTGCGAGGAACAACGAAAAACCATGGGAAAGACACCGGTGGATTTTTTTCTCGGATCCAGCCCATGCCATAGGGGGATATCACCAACAAATATGAGGGATGAACCATGATAAACATTGATAAACCACACAAAACACATGGATACTCAAGGGTTGTCCAACTTCAGAACCCCCCAATTGGTCTATTGGGTTTAAACCACCAATCACTTTAACGACTGAAATAACGGTGCTGACCAATATACGTTCTTGTTTTTGCATTTGTTCCTCTTGTTGAGTGAAAAATGTTCACACAATGTGTCACACATTTACATAACTCCCAGCGAAAAACAAGATGGATTGGATGGGGGGTGATGTGGGTAGCTGGCTACAGCGGTTTCAAACACAAGGGCACTGCGGAGCATCAAATGAATCAACCGTTTTACAACTTGGCCCTGACTTCGGTCTTGGCTTTTGATTTAAAAAAAAGACTTCTGCGATGACGGCCCCCCAAACAATAGCTAAGTTGGTTGAGAAAACTCCAATAACATCCAGTAACTATGGTTTATAATGCTTATGACTGTAGTTAATAGATGTTAATAGATGTTAATTAATAGTATATAGTTGACTGAGTGTGCAAACTTCAAACTAACTCTTAACGGGGGGGCCCACATTCTGCCTTCTATAGCTCTTTGGCATTGTAACAAAGGATCAGGCGATGGGGCTCACAGAAGAATGGCCTCTCGGAAGCTGGAATATCCGTTACGAGCACTAATGTTCCACGATGATACGTGTCACCATGGAAGGCACTCATCTGAGTCCAAAAGTCCAGCATGCTTTCAAACCTCAGGATCATAAGCTTGTAGGCAAGCAGCTCTGCAAGCATCTTGACACAGACCTCATTGATGGGCCCTTTGACTTCTGCAACTCTGCAACAGGACAAGCGCAGCTGCACCTGAACCATCTGAGAGACCTCTTGCTGCTGAAGCGCCCGGAACTGAGTGGGCTCTTGTTCCACCTTTGTCAAGAGAGTTTGCAAGACTTCCAAGCCTTCTTGGGGATTCCAGTCCAGTGAAAGCAATACA